TTAAAGATGGAAAAAAAATCATATTTTATATACTATTCTTTTTTATATATCGTAGCTATAAATGCACCTTTAAGAAAGGAAATCATCCAAAGATAATCCAGTATGTGATTTAAAGGACAGCTCTCCTGGGGCTCAGACGTTTTGACATATTGGTTTGTACGAGTTTCACATCCAACTTAAAATATTGTTTTGAAGGAAATCGCTGAATTAATTCTCTTATTGCATGAAACTTGACACGTTTTTATTTAAAAAGAATTTTCTGTTGTATGTAATTACAGTTTTCTGTATTTATCTTCTCAAGCAGAAACATGATATTTTCTGGTTTGGCTGTAGAATTTCATGCTTTCATCAAGACGATAGTTACATTGTATCAAAGTTAACATCCATGGTTTTTATTTGTCTAAGTTGCTATTAGAACTTCAGCTTCCGTCACAACAATCAAGACGTCAACAGCAACGACTGATTTTCTTTTTCAAAGTGGTTTAGGGGAAGATACCAGCGCTCCCTCCGGACGACCTTATTAAATTCTACAGACCAAAACGACAAATTAGAGCAACAACCTTTAATAACTTTGTCACTAAGAATATTATAGACCAACAAGTCCGTAACAACAAACGAGCGGTCATAGTTCCAAATAGTAAGACAGACCAATTCAAAAACTCTATTTTTGTGCGCATTGCAGTAGATTGGAACCATCTGGAGGACTCAGTAGTGTGCGTCACTACAACCAAGGAGTTTAAATCAGCACTCCTCAGCAAGCGCGACTAACTTGTGCGCAGACCAACCCGTCACACAATAGCCGAAAGGAATCTGTGACGTACCCATCCATATACAGAAGTGGGAAATACAGATACAGATAAGTTATGTTTGTTTTTAACAATGGTTTGTTTCAGTGCTTTAAGTTTGTGTCTATTTCAAGAATTTTGTTTTGTACACTTGTACTTACTTACAAGAATGGAGATATTACTCTCTCTTATACAAGGTAATACTGATCAAATTAGCGTTAGACAGTTTGGATGGCGATCAACGATATCGGTCGAACTTCTGCTGCTTTCCGCAGTTTCAATTTTCAGCTGACATTCGTTGCAATCATGGACATACTGAGCACATACTCAAAATATCTCCAACAAAGGTTAAATGAAAGGTCGCATGAATATGGATTAAAATGCAGTTAAATCATTGACTTGTAAGCCAATAATACATGAGCGATGTTTTGGGGCTAATTTAGACAGAATTAAAGAAGACTGTCTCGTATTTCAATATTCAACTATATACAATTATGGCCCGCTGAGGAGGTGAATATCCAAAATTGTCAACCCGAGTAAGGGTCATTCCTCGAGGGTCTTACTATATAATGTGAGGTATATTAATAATAAATGTTTCAAACGAACAAAAAATCATATTTTCATTGCGTTTGTCTTAATCGTAGCTAATGCCCCTTTAATATCTTATATTGATTTATTCTGGTTATTCCTACATTTTGAATTTTGGGCACAGCACGTCTACCTGTAATTTTTAGGGTAAATGAATTCAACTTATATTTGTGGTTAGTTAGTTCACATTGACACAGTCTTTAACATAGAGTTTAAAATTATAGACTAGTAATGGAAAAAAAATAAGGAATGACTGTAATAGTTTTTCTGTCTATGAAGAAATAACATAAAAAATGTGTTGCACACTGATTATCCCGAGTATACTACCTAATATAACAGTCCCAGCTTCAATTACAAGATTATTATGATAATTGCAATGTCACTTTCGATCATTAACAGAAACAAAGTCGTTATCATTATTCGTCATGATTAGACTTCTTGTAAAATTTCTTGAAACTTTTTTTTTCTTTTTCCATATGAGCTAGATCCAGTGTTCTTCTTTCTCTGTTCATTGAATTCGGACGTTCCTTTCAAGACGCTCTTCGTCAATATTGAACAACATCGAGCAAATGATATTTATAGGATACCATTGCTGGTGCCTTTCTGTTTAAAGCCGTTCGAAGTATATGATGCTTCTTCTGTGGGTTGGTCTAATCCACTAAACACAGTCGAACATTATTCATCTGCATATACGAAACAGTACAGTCTTTTGTTGTACAGTGCCATCCGATTACACCACCAACATAGTCCTGTTTATTCCGTATTTTATTGTTTTAAAGTCGTCAAAATTTATGAAAGATTTATAAAACTATATCTATCAGGTAAGCATAAGCCGTTTGATAAGTATACAAACACGTAATTTTTAGCAAATGTTTTTCGTATCCTGGCACAATTGATCCTTTGAAAAAATATTAATTTGATGCAAAGGTATATCTTTAAAATAGCAGTTGTCTAAAAAGGACAACAGGTCTTTATCCTGATTAAAAAACTGATTCCAAATGGGGAATTATAACTCAAATGGGGTATGTCGATAGGATCAGCGTATATAATGGGTTTAAATGTTAAAGTATTCGACTTATCTGTTGAAACTCATTAATAAGTGGTCTAAAATCGAGGCCAATCGGTCTGGCTTTACAAATAGTAATAATATTTATTTATGATTGAAGACAAAAGATGCAGTTATGATAAGATAAAAATGAGAATGGAAACGGGGACTGTGTCAAAGTGACAACAACTCAACCAAAGAGCAGACAACAGCTCAAGGACACCAATGGTTCTTCAAAAAGCGAGAAAATCCCGCACCCGGAGGCGGGCTTTAGCTGGACCCTAAACAAAAATGTATACTAGTTCAGAGAAAATGGACGTCACACTAAAATGCGAAACATTTAAATGAACCAAAAGGTAAAAAAAAACGCACAAGACTAAGAAGAGTCGTGATCTGCTCCTTAAAATTGCAAAAAAAAAAATAAATAAAAAAAAAAATAGAATGTTCTTCGATAACATAAATTTTACATAGTTTTGGTTAAATTTGTTATTAGCATGTTCAGCCTTTACCCAAAAATTTATTTTAATCATAGCAGCATCTTTAGTTTGCCCAGGACATCTTGTAGCAAAACACCTTTTTAGAATAGATAAGCTCATATTTGAATATTGATGTGAATATCTAAAATGTAAAAAGGCTTATGGGAGTTTTTGATATTTTTTCCTTAATCTTAAAGTGTAAAGGCCAAAAGCAAATATGTAAGAAAAAAAGAAAAAAAAGTATGAATACTTTATATCTGACATAACAATACCTATATATTGAACATCTGAGTACGAAATCAAACAGCCAAAACAATGGCCTAGTTCTGCCTTCTCTCTTTGGCCTCTAATAGCTTTTTTGTTATGTAGTCCTATATTGTGTGACGGTCTGTTCTTTTTGGGGATCTTGAGTGGGCCGTCCAGCGGTTTTAGTAAATCTTATGCGAGAGCATCATCGAACTAAGTATATTGAAAGTTGTCCCCAGATCTCCCACTATTGACATTAAATCAAAAATCAATTCAGTTAATGTATTTGGTCATACTTTTATTTCTTATTCCATACAGTCAAATTGTTACTGGAAGCAGATTTAAGCATGTAGATTTGTTGTTGTGTAGTTGATGATGTTTCTCAATCAACTGTAGAAAAGTACATTTAACATTTTGATTAAGACCGTCTAAATGGGGGATATTTGTCTCACAATTATTCGTAATTTGAGTTTCAAATTTCGTGGATTTAAAGCAACTATAAGTCACCGTACGGTCTTCAACAATGAGAAAAACCCATAACGTATAGTGATCTATAAAAGGCCCCGACAAGACAAAATGTGAAACAATTAAAACAAAAACAAAAGAAACGGTCTGACTATTACAAAACAATCATAAAACAAATATGCTAGACAACAGCCTACAACAACCACTATATTACAGGCTCCTGACATGGGACAGGCACATATAGAATGTGTCCGGGTTAAACGTTTCAATGAGCACCCTACCCCCTTAACCATGTATGAATAAAGAGAAAATATTCTACAAGAAAAGTTGATTTAGATTGAATTTTCATAATAGCCCTATATTCACCTGGTTGAGAACACACTTAAAAACAGAAGCAAAACAAATCAATGTTTTCCAACAAAGGTCTCTAATTACTAACATGGTTCTAATACACAATTACGTGCTACTGAATTTAATTTGAAGTATCTTATACGCATTTGAAATTTTTTTAACAACTGGTAGTCTCAATTTCTGTTAATGCCTCTATCAGAACTGGAATATTGCAAAATAGTATTTCAGATTCTATAAAGTCATACTAAAGGTAGTAATGACGTCATAAAAACGGCACTTGTGTACGATTATAAGATTGATAAGAATAAGAATGCTTATTGTTCGTTCAAATTAAGGGCATTTGTAGGCAGCATGATATTTATGCACACAAAACAATGCACTATGGTTTTGTGAAAAAAAATTAACATTATGAATTACATCATGATTATGAATCTTTCAGGTTCCCGAATATAGAGTATAAACGAGAATTTCTTAAAAAATTAAGTCGTGGCGAAACTTGTGTGTGATTATGTTATTTAAAAGTTTAACTGAGATATCATCTGTCTGATTAGAGAAAATTATCAATTCATGTTACTAAACATTCTATTTCATTTTTATGTTCTCGGATATATAAGAATGTTACGCATTTGTGTCAAAACCCCGTTGTTCAATCTTAAGAAAACGTTTTATACTCTTAAATTTAGCACACTCATTTAATCATATCATCATTTGTCCTTTTGTAGAGGAAGACTTTATAAAACATTAACTGAGTTGTGTATGTCACTTCTCTCAAAATTCATTTCAATTGTTGTTTCAATAAAGACTTATAAATAAACAATCATGAATACAATTTGAGATATGATCCTTTTTTAAAATATTCGATTGAATAGTAGTTATGAACAGACATTAAATGTCATTTTACTGGAAATATGGGAATGAACGTTTAAAATTTATTACTGCGTAATAATAATTGCACAGCTTTAACTGTCCGAAGTTCGTATTACCAATTTATTATTACCATTGTTATTGCATATTATGTGATATGTATAGACAATTTGTACTCACAAGAAAAAGATATTGAAATGTAATTTCCATGTTTAGTATTTACACCGATAGTCCACATCTATAAGCATTATTCCTGTTATTCAATTTGATGATTGTTGATTGAGATTGAGTATGAAATATCTCAATCATAGATGTTATAGTTTAGGCACGTTATCAATATTTTAATCAACCAATAGGAAAAGCTTCATAATCGATGATTCCAACCAGGTTCCAATAACTGCTTTAACTTTTACAGTATTTTTATAGAATGAACATGAATGAACAATTATCCAAAATCATAGGAAAATATAGAAATGCGAACGAAACATGTATTGTGTATTGGAATCAAAGCAGAATTCCCCAAACATATGCACTTCGTATCGTTGTTATGTGTCTCAGTTTTAAATTTCTAGTAATTAATGATGACAGCTTATTGCCTTTGATTTCATTTCTTAATGATTCAATTGTAGTCAATTCTCAACTATTACAGGTGTTTCCACAGTCTTTTTCGTACCAAAAAAGACACGTTGTTAACATTTGAAAATGCCTGTACCAAGTCAGGAATATAACAGTTGTTGTCCATTCGTTTGATGTGTTTTATCATTAATTTTGATTATGCCATTTGATTAGGGACTTTCCGTTTTGAATTTTCCTCGGAGTTCAGTATTTTTGTGATTTTACTTTTTAGAAACCAATGGGAAATTTAAAAACGTTCACCAAGTTGCTCATATCATGTTAAAATGTTGTGACAAGTCACATTCGGTGATGTCAATATCACGGAAGGGAGGACGATATTGTAACTATGACAAGTGGAACATATCCGTGGTCTTCTATCAGAGAGATATTCTATAACGGTCAACCAAATCATAATGATACCTGTTAAACTTTTGAAGAGACAACTAACAACTTTACGATCTCTTGATGACCAGTGAGTTAAGCAGTCTTGAATTATCTATAAAAAATAAAGTAAATTGTACAAAAAAATCTAGAAGCAAGTAATTTCAATGCAGAATAAAAAAAACTGCATTTTAGAATTGTTCCGATACAATGATGGAAAGTGTTGGGTGAAGTAGTTTGACATTGCATAGGCCACCTCTCCTACTATCTTAGACTAAGAAATAAGTTTACTAGGCAATTTCTAAATCAAGTGACACAAGCAAAAACATTTAAACCAATGAATCAAAGGAATGAAGTCCCGTTAGTTGTATATTGCACCAAAGCCCCGTTTTAAGGTTTTTTTTAGATCAGAAATTCCATTACAAAATGGAATCAAAACAAATACTAAAAATATAATACAAACGAATTTACAATTGTTTCGTGTTCTTTTGTTTGTCTGTTTCTTTTTTAACCATGGCATTGTCAGTTTATTTTTGACTTATGAGTTTGAATGTCCCTTTAGTATCTTTCGACTCTCTGTTACAAAAAAATGAAAACATCACTTTATAAATTTCATGCGTTCAAAGCGCTTTTCTGGATTTACCTTCATCGGGAAAGCCTGACAACTGAATTGAGGTCAAAGCAAAGCCTTTTTTTAAACTAGTATTGAATATATAACAGAGAATGTGACAATCAAACACGACAAGACAAAGTCGGAAATCCAAATAGCCATCTAAAAAGTTATTGTAAGATACACTTATTATTTATCGAATATACCTTCAAGTGATTGGTCTTCCGATCAGAACAACAGTGTCCCTCTTTTTGTTGATTAATGCCTTTAATTTATGAATAAACTTTATAACGAGCCTACGAAACAACACTTCATAGATATTTTTAACAATGCTTGCGAAATTTTCTCTGAAACAATGCGACGGTGCAAAATGATGTACTGCGAGGGAAGACAAATGCAATGTAAGTGCGACAACCCTTTTATAATATAGGACCGAATATTTCAACAAAATTTATGAAACTTCGTCCAATTTGTGCAGCTCTGTTTAAATTTTTAATAAATTTACCACAAATGTAGACATTTATAGTGGAAATATATTCAGCCTGCAGAATATTCTTAAAAAGTGGTACTTATCACCCAGCTTTTTACTGTAACATCATTTATAACACTAAACATTAAAAAATGAGAATAACACTTTATGTATTGGATAGATGTGTCGCGCTCTTCTGTGTTTTTTTTATGTAAAAGTTTTGAAAAGTACTAAAATATTGCTTCTAGTTCAATGACCAGAGAACTTACTGTGCTACTCCGCCTTTTCAAATTATAGGGTTATCATAAGACTCCATTTAAACGTAATGTTTCGGTCAAACACAAACTATGATATGGAATTTTTTTTTTCGTTTCTCTAATTGAAGTCTTGCATTTTGGACTTTCAAAATATTTGCATTGATTGAAATAAGCATTTAATATGTATTGTATAGCTATGAATTGAAATAATAGTCCTGTTATTGATTATCGCATGTCTGTATATCAGATATTTCACTAGTTCTAGACTGCCAATCAGATGATAAATTGACACAGGTCTGAAGTCCAAATGCCCGAATTCACAGCACATATATATAATGAAATAGTTATTAGTCGAAAGATTTTTCGCATTTTAAAGAAGATTTTTTTTCAAAGAAATGAAATAGTGTTGTTTATGTTACATTTGTATGATTTAGATTGTCTTATTAGTATGAATTGATATGCTTGTGAGTTCTCAATTTTAATATCAAATATTTAGGGAGATTATGGTAGTCAGACTGTGGCTTTTGTTAGAAAAATTATGGTAGTCAGACTGTGACTTTTGTAAGGGAGATTATGGTAGTCAGACTGTGACTTTTGTAAGGGAGATTATTGTAGTCAGACTGTGACTTTTGTAAGGGAGATTATTGCAGTCAGACTGTGACTTTTGTAAGGGAGATTATTGCAGTCAGACTGTGACTTTTGTAAGGGAGATTATTGTAGTCAGACTGTGACTTTTGTGAGGGAGATTATTGCAGTCAGACTGTGACTTTTGTAAGAAAGATTATAGTAGTCAGACTGTGACTTTTGTAAGGGAGATTATTGTAGTCAGACTGTGACTTTTGTAAGGGAGATTATTGCAGTCAGACTGTGACTTTTGTAAGGGAGATTATTGTAGTCAGACTGTGACTTTTGTAAGGGAGATTATTGTAGTCAGACTGTGACTTTTGTAAGAAAGATTATGGAAGTCAAACTGTGACTTTTGTAATGAAGATTATTGCAGTCAGACTGTGACTTTTGTAAGGGAGATTATTGCAGTCAGACTGAGACTTTTGAAAGGGAGATTATTGCAGTAAGATTATGACCTTTGTAAGGGAGGTTATTGTAGTCAGACTGTGACTTTTGTAAGAAAGATTATGGTAGTCAGACTGTGACTTTTGTAAGGGAGATTATGGTTGTCAGACTGTGACTTTTGTAAGGAAGATTATTGCAGTCAGACTGTGACTTTTGTAAGAGAGATTATGGTTGTCAGACTGTGACTTTTGTAAGGGAGATTATTGCAGTCAGACTGTGACTTTTGTAAGGGAGATTATTGTAGTCAGACTGTGACTTTTGTAAGGGAGATTATTGTAGTCAGACTATTGTGGTCAGACTGTGACTTTTGTAAGGGAGATTATTGCAGTCAGACTGTGACTTTTGTAAGGGAGATTATTGCAGAAAGACTGTGATTTTTGTAAGAAAGATTATGGTAGTTAAACTGTGACTTTTGTAATGGAGATTATTGCAGTCAGACTGTGACTTTTGTAAGGGAGATAATTGCAGTCAGACTGTGACTTTTGTAAGGGAGATTATTACAGTCAGACTGTGACTTTTGTAAGGGAGATTATTGCAGTCCGACTGTGACTTTCGTAAGGGAGATTATGGTAGTCAGACTGTGACTTTTGGAAGAGAGATTATGGTTGTCAGACTGTGACTTTTGTAAGGGAGATTATTGCAGTCAGACTGTTACTTTTGTAAGGGAGATTATTGCAGTCCGACTGTGACTTTTGTAAGAAAGATTATGGTAGTCAAACTGTGACTTTTGTAAGGGAGATTATTGCAGTCAGACTGTGACTTTTGTAAGGGAGATAATTTCAGTCAGACTGTCACTTTTGTAAAGGAGATTATTGCAGAAAGACTGTGACTTTTGTAAGGGAGATTATTGCAGTCAGACTGTGACTTTTGTAAGGGAGATTATGGTAGTCAAACTGTGACTTTTGTAAGGGAGATTATTGCAGTCAGACTGTGACTTTTGTAAGGGTGATAATTGCAGTCAGACTGTCACTTTTGTAAGGGAGATTGTTACAGAAAGACTGTGACTTTTGTAAGGGAGATTATTGCAGTCAGACTGTGACTTTTGTAAGGGAGATTATGGTAGTCAGACTGTGACTTTTGTAAGAGAGATTATGGTTGTCAGACTGACTTTTGTAAGGGAGATTATTGCAGTCAGACTGTGACTTTTGTAAGCCATGGCAAAAACGAATGGAGTGGCAGTTAAACCAGAATAAAGGAACACTTCTTGCTCATGCAAATGATTTGAATTCATCTTTGAGAAATTTGAGACCCTGGTACGGATTAATTCTGTTCATATCTAGTGGCCAAACGGTGCATAACTTAGGACAAAAAACAATGATAGAGTTTAAACTAAATCAAGGGGACATCTATTCTGAAACTCTCTTTTTTCCTAACTTTTGATTTTTCACTGCTGACAATTGTTATTTTATTTCATGTTTGATTATATAAAACTGGTCAAGTTTGATATAGATTAAACATATTTGTTTGTTTTGTTTGTAAAAGACTTTTATGAATTAATGTTCTTCCGAAATTTAGCTGTTATCATTTTGGTTTGAATTAAAATATTTAGGCTTTAAGTATGCCTTCCGTTTCCCTAAATAATAAACAGTGGTAGCATTTACTGCAATACAATGATAATAATCATCTCAGAACCAACAGATCCTCCACATAAACTTATGAGTGAACACAAAACTTTTAGCAAAATAGATAAAAAAATATTTATAATATTTTAAGCCTAGGTCGGCAATTAAGATACTTAATCTGCAACTCAAAAGGGTGTTTTAATAATTTGATATACATGTATAACAAAGTCAAAGATGCTGTATAGAATTCAGACTATATTTCCAACAAATAATATGTGCTATAAACCATAAATGAAGAAATCTCATCACAAAACTACATGAATCAAGAAATCTGTTTTGTCT